AAGCCTGTAGCACTGCCTGGGGTTGTTGTGACATAAATGCAGGACCCGGCACTTGGCCTTGTTGAACCTCATACATTTTACCTCAGCCTGCATTTAGGTTACAACTCAGCAGGGCTCTCCTACCCTCGGGCAGATCAACACTTCCACCCAGCTTAGTGCCATCTGCAAACTTACTGAGGGAGCACTCAATCCCCTCATCCCAATCATTGATAAATATGTTAAACAAGACTGGCCCCAACACTGAGCCCTGGGGGACACCACTTGTGACCGGCCACCAACCAGACTTCACTCCATTTACCACAACCCTCTGTGCTCTGCCCTCCAGCCAGTTTTTAACCCAGTGAAGAGTACATTGGTCCTAGTCATGAGCCACCAGGTAGACAACATTCACAGCCTTTCCCTCATCCACTAGGTGGGTGACCCAGTCATAGAAGGAGATCAGGTTGGTCAAGCAGGACCTTCCCTTCATGAACCCAAATCAGAAAAGCAGAGGAGAGAAGGAAAATGCTATGAGGGGTCTCTGTCCAAAGACTGGGAGAGTGCCCGAAATGCTGTCCTGCATGAACACGTCTGACAGGAGATGACTGAGTGATGGCCACTGGTGATCTGCAGTGAGGGTGCTGCCTAGGTGACAGTCTCCAGCCCTGACCAAGGCCTGTCATGCTCACCCTGCTTCCTAGGGCACCTTGGCCTCCCTGACGGCATTTTGCAGATGCTGGAAAGCTCACAGCTGCCCCTCAATTTCAACTCGTGGGACTGTTTTTTCCCCCTCAGCCTCCACACCTCTCCTCCACTACCTCTCCTGTTCTCTGTTGCCCTTTGGCAGCTTTTCCTCAGATGCCATTCTTCTCCTGAAGCCTGGCTGAGCCCACCTGACCACTGCCCGTCTACACAGTGTCTGCCAAACCCCTGGTTTGAAAGGAGCGCTGAAATATTCTGAAAATTAGATACCATTAACGCAGGGGAAAGTTCACACAGGCTCAGGGTAGACGCAATGGCTGTGCTTGCTTTTCACTGAGTTACTCTCTACTCTCTCTTCTCTCTGCAGTCAGTTGTCATCTCCTTCCAAGGTAGGTGACAGACAAATTGTGTCCCTAAAGTGCTTCTTTCTTTCTGTTGGCTGTCAGACCAACACTTAACCCATTTCCCAGCCACAGCTCAGCAGCTTACCATAGTGGAAATTCCTGAGGCGTTTGTAACACAAGACCATTAGAGAAAATATCAGCTAAGGGTTAAACATAATTATACAACTGCAGTAAACCAATACATCATTAAAGCCCACTAATTCATTAAAAACAAGGCCTGCACCTTGCAGGCTGTTTGAATTCTCTGGATTTTCATAGAACCATAGAATGGTTTGGGTTGGAAGGAACCTTAAAGACCATCTAGTTCCAACCTCCCTGCCATGGACAGGAACACCTTCCACTAGACCAGGTTGCTCAAAGCCTCATCCAGCCTGACCTTGAACACTTCCAGGGATGGGGCATCCACAGCTTCTCTGGGCAACCTGTTCCACTGCTTCACCACCCTCTCCGGGAAGAACTTTTTCCTGATATCTAATCTAAACCTCCCCACTTTCAATTTAACCCCATTCCCCCTTGTCCTGTCACTACAGGCCCTTGTAAAAAGCCCCTCCCCAGCTTCCTTGTAGCCCCTTCAGGTACTGGAAGGTGCTATAAGGTCTCCCCGGAGCCTTCTCTTCTCCAGGCTGAACAAGCCCAACTCTCTCAGCCTGTCCCCATAGCAGAGGTGCTCCAGCCCTCTGAGCATCTTGGTGGCCTCCACTGGACTCGCTCCAACCGGTCTATATCCTTCTGATGTTGAGGGCTCCACAGCTGGACGCAGCACTCCAGGTGGGGTCTCACAAGAGCAGAGTAGAGGGGGAGAATCCCCTCCCTCAACCAGCTGCCCACAGCATGTATGATTTTGTATCATACATGCATTAATAGTATCTACCTCGGTAGCTGTTTCAAGGATCAATTGCAGTACACGTAGCTTTTCAGCTGGCTGGTATAATTTAGCAGCAAGATCTTGCGTGAAATACTTAGAATGCTTTACATAAAGACAGAGGGTACAACATATGACTAACGCAATATTAAAACGTTTCTTTTAAAGAAATACACGTTACCCCTTCTTTCCTGTGCTGCAGTCAGAGTGGGTGGGGCTCAGTAGATTCCTACTTTCGGGTGTGAAATTCATCTCACAGACTGAGCCACCTTAATGTAGGCGTGTGCAAAGGTGCACATATATCCTACAACAGTCAATGCATATCTAGGGCTTCGTGCAACTAAGCACTAGGTGCCTCACACCCCTTAAGGTGCTATAGGTACTGGAGGTACCGGACGTACCTACATGGAGATGGAAGATGTAACTCTCACCTTTCAGGAGGGGCCATCGAAGGTAAGGGAGCTAAAATGGCACAGCACACCTAAAATTTAAATAACTCACTTGCACCCTCCCCCTTCATAGCACAGGCTGATGACTTCCATCATGTCCTAAGTTAAAAGACCTCAGCTGACAACAAGAAATGAGGAAATATTAGTTCACTTTACAACACAACATACACAATGGGTATATTTCCTGAAATGAGATAATCCTTCCAATAACATCTTTCTGACGTTTCCATAAGGCCAGCTATCCTGACATTACATGTGATAGATGTCTCCAAGACCTCAGCTTTTCAGTGTTTTCTGGGATCCTTGCTAAAATCACTGATGTTGGTTTTGTGAACTCATTTTTGAACCTATCCTAATTTTAATAATTTTTCAGGTTCTTTGATCTAGGTCAATGTTTGATTCCAGCTAATTAAATTTTGATTGTAGGGGATGTGTAAGTAGTGCTGCACAGTACTCTGTAGTAAGCCTCTGAGTATGCATCACTCAGATGTCTAACAGAGACTTTGACTCCAAGGACAGCAGATTTGTTGTTCACATCAATTTTCTACCCCATGTTATCAACCTATAGTGAAATCACAGCCTCCTGATCTGCTGTGTTTGGAGGATGATTTGATTGATTGCGTAATTTGGATATACTTCTGCTGCATGAGAATGCATGGTGTAAATATGCCCTCAGAGGCAAATACAATTTCTCACAGCCACTCATAAATAATTCATGTTTCCTTCCTTTTCGAAAATGAAATGGAGAAAACCAACACTTTGAATAAAAGTATATCCTGGGACATTACTGGAGCAGAATATGCGATCGATTTTTCAGTTTAAAATTATTTAAGATTTTTATAAGCAAGAAAGTGAGAACAAAAGTGGGAGAAATACGCAAATATTTAACAAGAAAATAGTAAAAATTAAGATTTGTCTTTTGTTTGTAGGATGAGCCCAAAAAGAATCCTCCTGTAAAAGTAAGTATTCTTATCCTGTACAAATTTGTGGTTTTGTCCACTTAAGCATATAAATGCTATTATGTAGAATATAGTTACTTCTAGAACTATAGTTTTTGTAACAATATAGCAATGAGAATTCAGGAAAACATGGTCCTGTGGTATCTTTACATGTAAACTGAATATTTCCTTTTTGGATAGGGCAGCTTACACTAGGCAGAATTTTCCATGCATTTCATAAGACTTGATACTTTTGATTTATCGCACAAACAGATTGTGATTTTAAGACAGATGTGACATTTTGCTTAATACAAATTTTCTTCCTCATATCTGTTGGTGGAAAATAAATTCCACTGAGTTTCAGGACAGTTAGACAAAGGGAATCTTCAAAACCTGTGGAAATTAACACACACTGTCAGTCTTCCCCTTTCAACTGTGTGGTCCTCTCAGCCCTGGAAGCACCTTTGACTTGGTGGATTCCAGACATATCTGTTATAGGATTGTCTCAAAAACATTAAGTCTGTTTGGCAAAGACAGACACCATCCAGGGAATATTCTTTGCATGATTAACGCCCATAAATTCTCAAGGTGAATTTACAGAGTGGTTCTTCAGTTTCAGCTTTCCGTCCTTCTGGGCTTTTTAGGATCCATAAACAAGGACACGAAAAAGGTGTCCTTAAAGTCTAATACATTAAAGACACAATGAACTTCAAAATCCAACTTTAAACTTAAAAAAACCAGAAAGTCTCAGAGGCAGGATGAACTAATTTATCACTGATTTAAATTTGTGGAGAAGAACATTTAACTACTACATACCTAAAAAGCATACAAATTAGTTTTCTATAGAAACTGTATGAGGAAATGAAAACCAAATTTTATTAATATTTACCCATGAGATGAAATGCAGAGTCTGATTGCTTTGTTTTTAGGTAAGAACTGAGAGATACAAATACCAAAATTACAATGAGAAAAACATATACATTCTGAGAATCAGAGCCCGTGGAAACGCTTGCTTCGTAAGCTCAAACTGGGGGGAATGGAGTGAACACGTTGAGTTTGGTAAGACTGTGAAATGTTATTTTAATACAGATGTTTTTTTCTCAGTATTACCAAGTTTGCCTCCCTTTCTTACATTCACAGATACAAATAAAGTCTTAATGCTTACCCACTGACATGGAAGAAACTAGGTGGAAATGATTCATGTAGAGGACAGGCTCCAGTACTGTGGCAGTGGAGGCCGTTGCTTAGTTGGGATTGCGAAGGCAGCAGTTTCTCAGATGCCAGGGCTACAGGAACAGGCTGAGGTAGACCCAGTCATGTCTCCAGTGCAGAGTGATGGGGCTGCCTTTCAGTTCTTCAGGTTTTTCCTAAGAGTATCATCCCTTTCCTTCCCCATCTTCCTTTCCACCTTTTCCTCAACACGCTTTCACTGCTTTTACTGTTACTCATTCTGTGAGTCTGTTTCTCCTCCTTTTCTGGATATATTTTTTTAAATTATCAACAGTTTAAAAGTTTGAAACTGTTTAAAATGTGTCAAGCATACCTGAACTTTTAGACAAGGTTTTGTAATACGTCAGGTTCACAAAATCACAGACTGGCTTGGGTTGGAAGGGGCCTTTAAGGTGATCTAGTTCCAACCCCCCTGCCATGGGCAGGGACACCTTCCACTAGACCAGGTTGCTCAAAGCCTCATCTCTGGGCAACCTGTTCCAGTGCCTCACCACCCTCTCTGTGAAGAATTTCTTCCTTTTATCTAATCTAAACTTACCCTCTTTCAATTTAAACCCATTACCCCTTGTCCTGTCACTACAGGCCCTTGTAAAAAGTCCCCCCCAGCTCCCTTGTAGGCCCCTTCACGTACTGGAGTTGAAGTCCGTCAGATTATTTAAAAAAAAAAAAAAAAAAAAAAAAAAAAAAAAAAAAGAGAGGTGAAATTTGCATTCTTAGAGTCACAAAGTCAGCTTTTTGGCATGCTAAGATATTTTTCCCTCTTGGATGTTTCAGGTGAAGGGAAAGATCACTCTATTTTTGTGATTCTATTTCTGATAGCACTTGGAACAATCGCAGTGACCCTGCTCCAATATTTTCTTTTCAAAAGGTAAATCAATGTTATTGATGTAGAAACTATTAATACAGTATTATTTCTGTGAAACACGTTCCTTCCATCTCCTACCTACTGACTTAAACGATCTGATTATCAATGTCACTGAGTATTATTCCCAGTATTGTTGTGGATGGCACTTTGGCATGCAAAATCACTAGAAGTGAAGAATCGGGAAAGACTGTTCAAGTTAGTAAGTGGTTGATTCCACCAGATCCTGCAAAAACCTTTGCGTTCTTACTTTTGAGCGTTTAACACCCACATCACTTTGAAGCCATTGGCTTCATAGAGTACCAGACAAGAGGGAATCAGGACAAGCAAATGTGTCATTATTCTGATAAAACTTTTCACCTAGCGGTGGGAGAAAGTTATGTCATGGAATTTATTGAAAAATCATTGTTTAATAATGTATTTACTGTGATTCTCATCACAAAATAAGACTCATACAACCGTTAGCCAAGTGATAAGTGTAATAATAGTTACCCACCAGTCTACACTCAGAATATTTTCCTTCTCACTTAGTGGTTTGTAGAGCAATAGCTCTTCAATCCTGAAAGCAAAAAATGTCCTTAAGGCACAGCACCAAAATGTTTGTGTAAGTTCTGTTACCAGTAGTTTTAACTTCTTCACAATCTCATTTTGTACCCAAAGGTATTGCAGTTTCAAAAGCATATTTACTCCCATTCCAAAACCAAGAAACAAATTGAATGCATCGACTTACGAAGACATCCAGGTATGCTTTCTTTTCAACTCAAATTTGTTAACTGTATACCCCGACAGGCCAAAGACGAGAAGAACTGGCATATAAAGATAAGAGTTAAATTTGCTCCATTGAAAACTAACCTGCTCCTGTGCAAAGTATGCCGTTTGCAAACTAGAAATGCCCTATGCCAGTGTGGAGACTAGTGATTATGCACATGTATTTGCAGCTGTATTTAAAGACCAGAGTTACCGCTTTTTGCTGAGACTGGTAATTTCTATGTGCACAAGTTTCGCTAGGTTTCTGATCATACTTTGACAACAACCAAAATGAGAAAGCATTTTCAAGTATCGATGATAATAAAAAGTGAATTAAGTCTGACCTGTAGCAACACAAAAATACCGTTGCGTTGAATCACCAAAGCAGGGCTGCAAAGTCTCAGCAGCTTAACAAGCCTTCCTCTTTCTTTCAGCACAGCATTAGTTAGGACAGTTTCTGTGTTATGTGCAAAGTGTGTTAGGCCAATACTCTGTAGCATCCCTATGCAGTCTATCTTAATGTTTAATTATCCTTACCTTTAGAAAGCTTTATAATAGTCTATTCTACTGCCCTTAAAATGGATTACTTTTCCTTACTCCTCTCCTGTTTGCAGTATCTTACATACTTGCACAGTCAACAGCAAATAACTCTTCCAGTCTTTCTTTATACGTCATGACAACCAGGCTTCAACCCATTCACGTTTCTCCAATCTGGCCATTGGAAGAAGTGTCCGCATGGTGAGGAAATGCTCTGTATCAGCTGGTTAAAGCACAGAGGTATTTCAAGTCAGTAAGTCAGGCTAGTGGTTCATCGCCTACAGTGTTTCCATGGGCAACAC